TGACGGCAGTGAGTATATATCAAGTAGCAGGGTTTCTGGGTCATATAATAATTCTATTGCCCATTACTTGAGGCAGCACCATGTTGTTTCACACTGTGCTGTTTTCCAGCCCCACCAGCAGTGTATGAGGGTTCTAATCCCTTTGTGCTCTTATTCCTTGACGTCCATTCCTAAAGACATCAATTGTAAATCCAAATAAATGAAATTATTGAGAACTTTAGTCTTTTTTTCCTGATGTCTCTCACTAGCCTGATTGTGGAGATTTTGTTTTGTTTTTATGTTGAGGCATAATTCAGAGTAGATGTGCCTTTCTTATGAGTAATCTCTGATTGGATCGGAGCTGCCACCCCTTCAGTTAGCAACCATTGCTTGACCATCTACATGCTCTAGGGAAACTGTGGACTTTAATTAATAATAGCGTGCCCATATTGGCTTATTCATTGTGACAAATGTACCATAATATAAGATGTTAACAATAGCAGAAACTTGGTACAGAGTATATGGGAACTCTCTCTACTCTCTATTGTACAACTTTGTTATAAAGTAAAATTATTCTGAGACTAAATGTTTCTTCAAACTACATAACAGATATACTTGAAAAATAAAAATGATCTTCTGATAGAATGTTTGCAGAGGAAGGTGCTTTTGAGTTTATAAATTATTTCCATAATTTATGACAGTTCTCACATCTGCTACTATAAAATTCACTGCATCTTCTCTGCCTGTTGGGAAAAGATGCATTTAATTATCAGTGAAATTCCTCTTCAGCTTGTTAGGATGAATGATTTGAATCTGTCATCTTTTTTTCCCTCCCTGAATACAAAGGAACTGAAATAAGCACAGTTTTATGCTGTACCCCTTACCTACCACCTGCTTCCCTTAATTGATGAAGGTGTGAGCTTTTATTAATCTTTTTGAGTCCCTCTGTAAGATGCAGAAAAAGCTAATAGGATACCATTGTATCTCGCTAATGTGCGTGCTTTGTGAAATTGATACGACCTGCCAAGACACAAATTACTTAAGCTTTGATAAATGTGCTGAAATCAAGGGCTGTTCAAACATTGGAGCACGGAGGTTCTTCTTGTCCCCATTTTGTGCTCACTCTTAAGTGTTTTCACAGTATTGCTGTGATACGACAGCAAGGGTACAAGAATTACCATGAAGAGCCCCAACAAGTACAAAAGCAACCAGGGAGAAACAACCATGGGTTTTGTCAATCACATCTCACAGTCTCGCCTCGGCCTGAGTGGTGTGCCAACAGGTTCAGTCTGCCCAGCGTGCTGTATCACAGAAACGGTTTGGGAATGAGGGCGCCAGCCAGACACTTCGTACTTGTAGCTCCCTTTGCTGACTCGCTGGTTAGGCTGGAATCAAAGATCCCCAAACACATGTGGTTGGCAGAGCGAGCTCACCTCTGCCTGTGATCTGGATGTGACTCAGACACCGGTGAAACTGGAAAGCCCAGGAAAGATCCCATGGATGTGCTGGGATAGAGAAGGTTGATTTCTACTTGGTCATTAATTTACCACACGGCACTGCACAAGTTGCTCGATTAACCAGTAATCAGTTTCTTTGAGAGGTCTTGATGTTCATATAACCCTTTAGGGACATTTCTTGAGGAGAAGAATGGTACTGTGCACTGAGCCATGAAAAACAATCAGTCATTACAAACTAGCCTTTGTCTGGCATTGGGCCTAGTCATTTCTATTCATTTATCTAGTTCTTGAAACTGGATAAAAGGAGGTGAGAAAACGCTTTGAATCAAGAAAGGATCTCAGTTATGCTCATGAAGTATTAACCTATAGCACAATGTGTAAAAGTAAGAATTGATTTTTTGTTGTTGTTAAACTAAATCAAAAAGAGGAGTGACCAAGGATATACGTTTGCTGAAAGAGAAAGAGAGGAAGGAGAGCGGAAGGGAAGGAAGAAATTAAGGAGTGTATCAAGATCAAAAACCACAAGGAACGATCAGAAGGTAAAGCAAGCGCACCTTACACACAGGATTCGCAGCAAATGTCAGGAGTGTCTGTCAGCATTTCCCAAACAAGGCAAGTCTCGTGAAAGTCTGGGAGCAGGTGCAAAATGATGGAACGATTGCGGTGATGGACAACAACAGACAAAATTCCAGAGAAGCAAAGTTAGTCCTTTCCCTGGATCAGCAAGTGGCCTCTCACCTGCCCATGTACCCTGGGCCTTCTTGCTAGTGAAGCTTAGGTGAACTCCACTTGAGCCACAGAGCATCAATTCTCAGGAGATTCAGGTCGTATTGAGCATTAGGGAACTGGACGTCATGGCTGTTACCAGTTGCCTTAGAAGAGGGTTGCGCTTGTTGTAATTAGACGGTATGAAACCAGAAAGCTCTACTTAGTGTGTCAGGTATGTCCAACATAATTGATTCAGAAAACCTCTGTGGTCATGAATGCCCTGTCCTTTCTTTGTAAAAACCACAGCTTTTTAACTCCGGGAGAGGAAGAAGACTCCGTTTCAATTACGTAGGCTCCTAGAGAAGTAGTAGAGATTTAAACTCACTGCTGTGGAGTTGATTCCATAGCCATTCATATAGGGCTTCCGAGATTAAATGTTTACAGGAGTAGAAAGCCTCATCTTTCTCCCACAGATCGGCTGGTGGGTGGGAACTGCTGATTTGGGGGTTAGCAAGCCCACAGTGCTACCGCAGGAAGTGAGAATGTACCTCATACCAATGTGTCCTTTTGCCAAACCTCAGTAATTTAAGTCAAGAGCAAAGAATTCAGGGAACAGAAATGAAGAAGAGAGGCCTTCAGGAAAGAGCAAAGAGACGAAATCATCCACGGACTTGCAGGACTGGATTCTCACTCTAAAGTGACCAGAATTAAAATGCTTCTTCACGAAGCTTACACTTCTAAACTAGTATGACAATATGAAAGATAACATTCCATTATTAAAATCTACTCTGTATTTGAGAGGACTATATTTCAGGCTCTGCTTTCTTTTCTTTTCTTTTCTTGCTTGCTTGCTTGCATGCTTTTTTTTCCAAATTGGATTTGTGGAATAATCCGCAACCAAGTTTGACTTTGCAAACGACTCGGGCAACAGTCCGTAAACTCCGAGTCCGTCGTCCGTCCTTCTTCTCATCGGGCTGACCATTTTCCGGAGCAACGTTACCATAGTGGTTATGCATTAGCCATAGAAGCCTTTCAGTGTTTCCGCTTGAAACAGCTACTCACCCTACTCTATGATGCCCACCTACATAATCACCCCAAGCAGTGGTTTCACATATGAGGGTAGGTCAAAAAGTATTGCTACAGATATATGCTCTTATGTGATAGAAACATTGTAGCAAGCCATAGAAACGCTTATTGAACAAAAATTTCATAATATGAAACCGTTGTTTTTCAAGCTAGGCTACATCTAGGTGTGTACACTTCTGAAGAAGGTATTTCCAATCTCTCTAACACCCTGCACCCCACCCCACCCCACGAATTCTGTGCCCTTTGATTTCGGCCACTTCCAAAGACAGCTTGAGCATCCTTGAGTGATTCAAACCGTGTTCCCTTGTAGTGTTCTTTGAGTTCAGGAAACAAACTAAGCCTGAAGGGGCGAAATCAGGGCTGTTGGGTAGATAGAATTGGCTTTTCCAACGAAATTTTTCTGAGCCTGCCCTTGGTACCCTCAGAGAAAGAGCAAGTGCCGTGTGGTGATTTTTAGAAAATTCATTGGCACAACAAACATTCTTGGCCTTTTTCCTATCAAGTCACCTTCCACTTAACGTCTTCATGAAACATCCTTGTGATTGTTTCGTCTCCTCTGAGAAAAGCTATCAAAATTATTCCTTTGGAATAATAAAAAACAATTACCACCACCTGAACTGCCCTCTCTGCCGTGAATTTACCCCCGCAGACCCCTTAGAAGCGGCTGTGTTGACCGTACATTTTCCTGAAGGCAGCCTAATAGAAATGAGGAAAGTGACTGTACTGCGAGGACCCGTCTGCAGCCATGCACAGCCCTTAAAGACGTCTTTCAGACACGCCCGGCATTTGGTTTGGGTTCAACCCTTGCATGTATTTCACTGGAACCCTGGTAGTAACATTTGTTACTTACTTTAGATGTTATGATTCTGCCCTACAAAATCCATATTGACTTAACCAACTGATGTTTAGAAATCATGTGGGACTTGCAATGCAAAGAAAAGAAAAAGAAAAATCAAGTGCATGTAAACTGTCATCTCTCTCTAGTGCCTGGACAGACCCGCGAGGGCTCCATCAAAGCTGTGTGTGCCTAACCGTTTCACTCTCATCATCGTTTCTCAGCAGTTCTGTCTTCCAGAATATTTTGCCATTATAATGAAATTCACTACATTATTTCAATCTATTCAAATGTTTGTTAAACATCTCTGCTTTAGTAAAGTTAGCTAAATTATGATTTTTGTAATTACAATTTATATTTTTCAATTACAACTTTCTAACTGCTTTTTTCTTGATAGAGGCTGAGAGAGAATTATGTCACTATCAACCAAATTATATGTCATGAGCCTATGAATACAGTTAAACCTTTCACATTTATAAATGTATTTAAAAGAGATTTATCAATACGTTCTTATCACATCACTTGTAGCTGCTTGGTAGGAACCGTCAACATTCTAGAATTAGCTGCCTTCTCCTGTCAGGGCAGCATTGAGGTCAGGGAGAGGCATTCACAAGTTAATGATTCTAACAAAATTTTAAATGGCATAACCAGCTCTCTTTCTTCAATCAGGGTAAATAAAATTGTAAAGATTGGGAGACAGTCGTATTAAAATGAAGTGCTCTTTTCTTAATCTCATCATTCTCATTTGTGTACTTACTGATCTCCCTGGCTTAGCAGAGTGCTCATCTGGTGACGCTGTTGAGCCCAGCTGTGTGTGAACTGCTGTTTGAGGAGAATCTAAGTGATGTTGGAATAATTTCCCTTGTGCTTTGACTTCACCGTGTGTGCACACAAAGCCTAACCTAAAGTTCATTTCTGTTTCTCTTTTCACACAGCTATTCTGTGACAGTCAAAACGTGGTGCATGCCACCGAGGGGCTGGATTGGGAAGACAAGGATGCTCCCGGGACCTTGGTTGGAAACGTGGTGCACTCAAGGATCATCAGTCCATTGCGCCTCTTTGTGAAACAGTCCCCGGTGCCCAAGCCCGGTCAACTGGCCCATGCAGACAGCATGGAAAACTTCTGGGACTGGCTGGCCAATATCACAGAGGTTCAGGAGCCATTGGCAAGAACTAAACGGAGGCCGATAGTAAAAACTGGAAAATTTAAGAAAATGTTTGGATGGGGTGACTTCCATTCCAACATTAAAACTGTCAAACTCAACCTCCTTATCACGGGGAAAATTGTCGACCATGGAAATGGAACCTTCAGTGTTTATTTTCGACATAATTCTACAGGCCTGGGCAATGTTTCAGTGAGCTTGGTACCCCCTTCCAAAGTGGTGGAATTCGAAGTTGCCCCCCAGTCTACCTTGGAGACCAAGGAGTCCAAATCTTTCAACTGCCGCATTGAATATGAAAAAACAGACCGGGCAAAGAAGACCGCCCTGTGCAACTTTGACCCGTCCAAGATCTGCTACCAGGAGCAGACTCAGAGCCATGTCTCTTGGCTGTGTTCCAAGCCCTTCAAGGTCATTTGCATCTACATTGCTTTCTACAGTGTTGATTACAAACTTGTGCAAAAGGTCTGTCCTGACTACAATTACCATAGTGAGACCCCATACTTATCTTCTGGCTGACTCTTTCCACAGTGCTGGAACGGAGGCCCATCTGTATGTAATCAGAATGCCCCGGAACCATGCCCGGCTCTTCAGGGCAAAGGATCTCTTTTGTCTCTGGCATTGGACTTAGTTCCCCATCAGGTTTTCAGATTTCGAAAAACCAGAAACATATTTGCGTGTGAAATGTGTTTGTTTCAATCCTAAGCCATCTAAAGAGTAAAACTGCTTATAAAACCATCCCTTTAATGTAAGATGGCACAGTTCTAGAAATAGTATTATTTCTCTAAAAGAAGTATTAATGGTTCGCAACATGTGACAAGAAGGATCCAAATTATGCATGTGATAAACATTGCTCTTGAAATGAGCCTGCCTTTGAAATGTGTTTTGGAAGGTTATTTTAAAAATAGCAGATTCGAAAAAGGAACTGAAAAGATTGTATTGGATAGATGAATTGTGTTTCTGACATTGAATTCTTCTTTGATTGCAGTCTTTTTCTCCACATCTGTGCTGTTGTGGATAGGAGAGATGAAATGATAAGACTTGTTTCAAAACCCACGTGTGCATGTGCCGCGCCACGGTGGAACGAGATTCATCCTTATTTGAGGTGGAGCTGCGGGGGCTGCGATTGCAACTCTGGGTCTTGTGTTGGTCACCGTCCTCAGATTTCTTATCTGAGGAATAACATTGGCACAGCGGTGGCAAGGGAATTATTGGAAAAGACAAATATGGATATATTTTACATCAGTTCAATAATAAGGAAAATCATAGGTCAAGTTGTTTTCAGACACATTTTTTAGACTCTCGTGCCAAATTCAAGACTGGCAGATGATCACAAACCCTAGAATATTAACTGCCTGCACCCTCTAAGCATTAGTTACATTAGAGTCTAATGTATAACTTCCTTCTATTTATTTGTCTTTTAATGCTGTGTGTGTGTGTGTGTGTGTGTGTGTGTTAGACATCGGAAATCAAGAAAAGGTGATTGATTGTTTCCAAGGTTAGAATGGGAACGAATCAGAACATCAAAAGCAAACTCGGGGTCCTTGTTCGTAGCCGCTCAGATTCCGCTCTCCTAAGAAATGGTTCTTGCTGAGTCGACTCCCACTTGTAACGAGTAACCCCACATGTGTCAGAGTGCAAGTGTGCTCCGGTAGGGTGTTCAGTGGCTGGTTGTTTGGGTGGGGTGTTGGTTACAAGAGTTGGGCCATGATCCGCATAGCCTGAAGTTAGAAACCACCAGGGGCCCCATCGGATGAAGACTGAGCTTTCTACTCCCGTAAACAGTTAACTTCGTGGAAGCCACAGGGGGACGCGATGAGGCAGCACTGGCTCGAGATGGGTTTGTTTTGAGTTTTTTGGAAGTAGATGACCAGGCCTTTCTTCGACACCCTTTCTGGATGAATCCTAACCTCCAATCTTTACAGTTAGCTTATTAATGGTTTACACCACTCTTGACTCCAAGTTTTTTCTTAGATTTAGTTAATTATTCAAATGGAGGATCAAATTCTATGTGGAACTATCATGTTTGCTAATTACTAAGTGTTGATAAGTAAGATCCATGATTCAACTCGGTTTTTCAGATTATTTCCAAATAATGTTACTTTCCAAAGCGTGAAGAACCCTAGTGGCACATGGGCTAAGCACAAGGTGGACTGTCCAAATCCACCAGCGCTCTGTGGGAGGAGAAAGACTGGGTGGTCTGCTCCCGTAATGAGTTAGTCTCAGAAGCCCTAAGGAGCGGTGGACGCTGTCCGGTAGTGTCACGGGGACTTGAAATCAGCCAGGTGGCACTGCGTTTGGTGCGCATTCTAGCCCGTGGTGTTGTGTCGTCTTCTCTGAGGGGTAGTGAGTTGTAATCCTATATCGGAACACGAGATCCTCTTATTAATGCAGAAAAGGGTGTTGGTTGATCAGCAAAAAGTCTTTTAGAAGAGTCATAGAAGAGTTATTCGTTGTGTAATAGTTGGTCACTCGCTCCCCTCTTCTTTGTAAAATATCAAATGAAGGTGAAACATTAAATCTCGGACTAAAGATAAGTCTTGACCAGCAGAAATGGTTGAACTGCGTTGTTCAAAGAGGCCACAGCTCCGTTTTCTCTCTCGTGTCTCCATCCCTTTCCGTTCACTGGTGATGACCGCACAGTGTTCCAGTTGGTCTGTTGGTCTAAATCGTACTAGCTTAGTGTGTGGTAGTCACGCGTGAAGTTGTCGCTCTGAACTCAAAGATGCTGTGGTGATTTTGTGCTTGGTGAGTGCTATTTTGAGACACCTTTTTATTTTCATCTACAAACAGAATTAAAATGTTGCTTATTGTACAGTATGTGGGAGCTAGCTATGTACATATACTTAGAATTTTTTGTGTACAAAGAAAGTATGTGTACACATTTCTATGTAAATAAAAAGAATTTGCTAAATCTGTCACACGATTTCAAAGTGGTCATTTTGTAAAGACACTCCTCATTTCCTCCTAAGGCGTTGTGGGGGGTCAGGTAGGGGTGAGGTAAGTGTAAAAAGCATTGCTACCTGGGTGCCGGTTCCTGCCGACACAGGTGTATGCCAAACAAATCATGCTTACGCATGTCCCGGTGACCAATGGGTGCCTTCAGACACGTTCTCTCCCTAGTACACTTGTCTTAGTCTCCTTAGGGTGACTGCAAAAACTTTCTGGGCCATGGTAAGAAAAAAACAATTGTTCGGCCAGGACTAACATCAATTTTTAAACAAAATTTAAATGGACATCTTCCCAAATCACTGACTCTTTGCAGCAAGTCTGTGGGAATAAAGTGCTGTTTCTAGATGCATCGAGCATTTTAAGAAAGGTTCTAAGGAGCCCTAGTGGCGTAGTGGTTACATCACTGAGCTGCCATCTGAATGGTCACAGACCACCAGCAGCTCTGCACGCGAAGGACGGGCTTTCTCCTCCTGGCAACCGGTACAGCCTTGGAAACCCGCAGGGGTCGCTGCGCGTTAGCCTGGATTCAATGGCAGGGTGTGACTGGGTATGGAAGACTGACTCAAGCAAGAGAGGTCACCTAAGAAAGTTGCTAGGACGGGCTTCTTATTGGGAGGAGGGGATCCCAAAGGGACATTATCGATCGATTTTTCTTAAAGCCAACAGGACCATCATAAGGGCTGATGGTGAAAAGGTTTTTAAAAAGACAGCGTCGGTGAGAAGCTTTTTAAAAAGCAGCAATATTGTGGAAGTGTGCACCAAGGATGTTTCTTTTCCCATCATGCCTGTCTACCTTCTTCTTTCAGAGTCGCCAGGGCCGTCTCTCACTGCCATGGAGTAGCCTCCCACTCACAGTGCCCTGCAGACAAAGTAGAACTGCCCTTGTGGGTTTCGGGGACCATCCATCTTTATGGGAGTAGAAATTCTCATTTTTCTCCCGTAAGAATGGCTGGTAGTTTCGAACGGCTGACCTTGTGGTTAATCGTCCAATGTGTAGCCCCCAACACCACTAGAGTTTCATAAGGGATGTCTCCTGGTGTTTTCTTGTAATATATATTTTTTTAAGTTTGAGGGACAAAAAAAGTTTGATAGGGGCAAGATCAGGGCTTTAGGATGGCTGAAGAAAGGTGTCCCGATAGCATTACCCTCAGGGTTGTCCCTGGAGAATGTCTTTGTGGCATGGAGGGATGGGGTAATGAGGAAAGATGGGGTGGAGGAGATAAAGAGGGCCACAGATATGGAGCGTTTAACAGGATAGTTTTGATTTCACTTTCTTGAGATGGGTTGTGTAAATATTTCATATTCATGTCTTTACAAACAAACAAAAATCCTCTGGATTCCTTACCCTTCAAAAAAGGCCAAGCAAAACTGAAATGGACTTGGAGTCTCCAGTGGAAAAAAGTTCATCCCCAACAAACAAACAAAAAGAATTCGGGGGGCGGGGGGGAGCTGAACTTTTAAAACAAAACACAATATGCTTCCCATGAGGGTGCCAAACTTCTATTTTTATATGGTGTACATTAAACATTGCAAAATTCTTCAGGGAAAGATTAGAGAGATAGAAGCATCACCTTCACAGTGTTTGACCCCAGAAGGAGGTTACACTGAGACGCACTTTCTTCACATTTTGTTTTATAAAAGTTTCTATGGTTTTGCAACAGTATATTTTGCCTTACTCCATGAATGGTGTGTGTGTGTGTGTGTGTGTGTGTGTGTGTGTGTGTGTG